TAAATTAGAACTGCGGAATTCAACTATACTGTAAACCCCCATTATCACATTTTGAAAAAATTCGAACGAAATTACTCTTTGAAAATATCTCAATGACAGAACAAAATACGGCCTGTTTGACTTGTACTTCTACGTACTTGATTGACATGTTAAATTAAGAAACAAACAATTCTGTCCAACCGTTCACTTTCTTATCAATATAATATGTTAATTTAGAGGACTTCAAGTGCTAGTAGTGAAAAAAATAGTATATATATACCACGGTAGAGAAGTCTATTATTGCCTTCGCACCTTACATCCCTCGGCGCAAGCGCCTCGAGATGTAATCTTGGTGCTCAGGCAATAATACTGTACTTCTCTACCTTGATATATAATGTACTATTAGACCTGTCATTGTTATGGCAACTTTGATTTTCATAAATTATGCGTCATGTTCCCGTGATGCTGCATTCCTATTGGTCGTAAACTTGTATGTTAATGAAAAATCTATCATTTAAGTACAGGTAGCAAATGTTTAATATTTTATGAATTAAAGTATAGGAGAAGAAATAGTATATTATATATGAAGGTAGAGAATTACAGTATTATTGCCTGAGCACCAAGATTACATCTCGAGGCGCTTGCGCCGAGGAGTGTAAGGTGCGAAACTATATTAAATAATGATTAGAGTGCGGATAAAAACGCATTTATTTTTATAAAATAAGCGCTTATTATATGCATCAAAACGGGCAAAAAAGCTGAAAAAAGGGCAAAGTAAGCAAACAAATGCACAATCAACCATCCACACAAAAAAACCTTTATTCCTCAATAAAACATGATTATGACGAAACTAACTCTAATTAGGTATCGGAAAAACAATTAACAATTATGTATTTCTCCAAATTTGCAATTAAAAAATTTTGCCTTCAGTCCGATAAAATATTTTTGTAGACGGATAGACATAGATGTCTTTCACTTTTGGCATATTTTGACCCGGTTAATTGAATTAATATTTAGAAGGAGCTACGAACGGTTTAACGTATATGCGAAAAAGTACACAACTAACACAACTGTGCTGGAACACGAGTTATTATAATTTATGAAAAGGAGCCCGAAAATTTCATTCTGCCTAGGGCCCGGACAAACCTTAATTCGGCCCTGGTTGTGTTTTCTAAAAGTGACAGCGTGACAGTTCTCATTATTGACTACTAGTTGATAATGTCCACATTATTAACCACTTTGCACAACTGCCGAGAAAGCCCACTTTAAGAATGGAAAAAAGGTTAATAATCATGTCATCAGACGCTAGTAGTGAAAAAAAATGTTTGTTATGTCTGTTCAAATAATATAAGAAAAAAATAAAAACCAAATCGGCAAATTTCGGTTTTTTTAGCATTTCTTCGGAAGTAATCGGAACTCTTTAAAGCAGGATAATAACTTTTCCATTGCGCATATTTTCTCTAATTTGACCATCGTCGTATCTTTCATGGTTTCGGAGATTCCTATGACAGACATCCATATCTTAGACACAGTGTATAAACGCGTCATATCGTTCACAAATTTTTCCTCATATCACTTTGTGAAATTATTCAAAAATAGCTAACATCGTTACAATTGAATTGAGCCGTGTTCAATAGTTTTTGGTGCAACGCTCTGATGTTTCCGTCCGTCTGTCGCTAAAGATAAATCGTCTATATTTGCTTTAGGTTTTTGTTTCTTGCTGTGTGCTAGCTAGATCTTTGTTGTTGTTTTCTGGTTTGTATTTTAACCTAACGATATTTGTTTGTTGGTAGATTTAAAAAGACAAATGTGACAACGTCGTATACATTTTCGGTTTATTCCTTTTTCTCCGAAAACCGTTCATTTAAGGGAGGTATACATATAGGTATAATATGCAATTAGCTAATTACAAACTGGCCTTATTTTCTTGAGCACGATTTGTCTGTAAAGGATAAAGATTAAAGGGAGGGTTCCCATTAAAAACAAATAAGTTTTCACATTTCCTGAGCCACCTGTATACGTTTTTTGAACAGTTGTTACATATAATCCATATGTTGCTTGCAATAAAAAATACAATTTTGTGGAATAGGTATACCTACATTTCCCATTTAAAATAGCGCCGTGTGAGTTATACTCTAGTGTAGTAGGTGTCATACAATAGCTGCGCATGTTGTGTTGGTGCTTCTGGTCTTCATAGTATCCAAGAAGAAACATTAATTTTGGTAGGAAAATGTAAAAAGATGTATTTTCATGTACATCAAGTAGGACCTATGTAAAAAGGTTTAACTGAAAATTGCATTACATTAATAAATGTCCTTCTTGTCTGCTATTTTTGATAAATCGTACCCCTCTATACGTGTAAAACTCGAAGGACCGGTTAATAACGACTTGTGCGAAACGAAAAATTCATGAATATGATTACGCAGCGGGTAGTTCCTGTAGTCCAATAACCACTTGGACTGTAGAATAAAAATATTTTTAATAATTGAGCATGTGTCTGAATCCAACGAAATTTAACGCACTAACTATTATTTTAACTACTATAACTATTATACTAACTTAACTAGGTAAATGTTGACGCGTAAAGCCGATGAACACGGTAGATTTTAAATAATAATAATATTTCCGTTTCAATTTTTAAAAAATCCAAAAATCATATTCAGAACAAATAGACCTAACTAAAAAACATTAGAACGAATTTTATTAAATATGCAGCACAGCATAGTTTAGTGTAGTGTAGACGTTTCGTTAAATATGGTTTACTATTGTACATGTACTCGTATATTACTATCCTCTTATAATAGATACATAGGTGTTTTTCGGCCCAAGAACTTTTTTAGAAAGCAGTAAGTAGTATTAACTAATGTCAGTAAACCAATAAAAATACTGTGAATCTCGCTGTGAATTCATCAGTAAAAGCTGGTTATTGACAAAGGTCAACAACATAATGTTTCGATCACATTCTATGGAGCTTGTCTTTTTATGTCTAGGGAATTGCAAATTGTTTTCATTACTATAATAATATACCGTTGGTATACATCTACATTACGTTTGATATAATGGAATTTCCAAGTCGATTGGTACCTACTTACTAACTAAATGTTTATACGTTCTTGGACATGCATTTTATTGTTAAGGTATTTGGGAAACTTTCACTCAACAATTCTTCTAATTTTCTTGTACAGGAAGAAATCATAGAAATTCCCATGTTAAAGTATTGTGTTATCATCCAATCGAAGATAAGGTCAAATGTTCTAGATAAGGAAAAAGTAGCCCTCCCACCCAGTTTTTAAGCTGATTCAATTTCATTCAACAAAGTACAGCAAACAGAACTCTTAGCGATAATTTTTCGTAGTTATCGTCTTTATACCACTCTTCTACTTGTCCGTGACGTTGACGGTATTAACTACGCTTATTCAAGGTGTTCCAGTGTCGAACTTGCGGCGTCTGATATAACAGTCGAATTGTAACAGCGCGTTTACTGAGCGATTCAGTAAGTGGTGTTATTGCATTAATCGTATGTAATTATGGTAATATGTTTCAGTCTCACAATGATTTTGGTCATACCGATTTTTGCATGTTGTTTGCTAAACGTAGTTGTGGGGCAAACTGCAGGTGGTAAAGATCTTGATGATATAATTGACACTGTCTTCAAGAAACCACCCACGGAGAGTAGAGGTCCAGATTTAACCCCAAAAGACAAGGTCCCCGGGACGGGAAACTGTGATTGCGTTCCCTATTATCTGTGCACACCTAATGGTACCATCATCGATGACGGGTTTGGAGTTATCGATATACGGTAGGTCCATTCAAATCTCATTATAACCACTAATAAACTAAACGTAATTTCGCCCTTATTTACATTGCTTAGAATCGACGATGGTCCGTGTGATTATTTATCACATTGCTGCGAGCCGAAAGACAGATCTCCAGTCCCCATAACCCCGAAACCAGACCTAGAAGCGAAAGGGTGTGGCAGGAGACACCCCAAAGGTGCGGGTTTTCGTATTACTGGCGCAAAGGATCATGAGGCACAATTCGGTGAATTTCCATGGATGGTCGCATTACTTCGCGAAGAATCGATTGAAGGAAATCCCAAAAAACTGTTAATTTATCAATGCGGAGCCTCTCTCATTCATCCTCAAGTAGTTTTAACTGCTGCGCATTGCATTCCCGATAAAAATAAGATGTACAAAATACGCGCGGGCGAATGGGACACGCAAACTAAAAATGAACTCCATCCTCATCAAGACCGAGACGTAAAAAATATTTTGATACATCCCCATTACAAACCGGGCTCACTTTTTTACGATTTTGCTCTTTTAATCTTAGATTCACCCGTAGATCTTGCTGAAAACGTGGACGTCGTTTGTTTACCGGATAAACACGAAATACTCGATAATTTGATGTGTTACGCGACTGGTTGGGGGAAAGATGTTTTTGGCAAAGAGGGAAAATATCAAGTCATTTTGAAAAAAATTGACCTGCCGATCGTGCAAAGGGAGACTTGTCAAGCAAAGCTTCGAAAAACTAGGTTGGGTGTCCATTTTAAGTTAAACGAATCATTTATTTGCGCTGGGGGACAACCCGGTAAAGACACATGTAAGGGAGATGGCGGTAGTCCTCTCGTTTGTCCAATTCTCGGTAAAGAAAATGAGAATAAATACTTTCAAGCCGGAATTGTCGCCTGGGGAATTGGTTGCGGTGAAGACTTGGTTCCGGGGGTGTACGCCAATGTAGCAAAATCAATCGAATGGATAGACAACATGATGATCGATCAAGGTTTCGATACTGCTGTGTATAGAAATTAAGTTTGTAAGAATTTTTCATAATTAATGACGCTTCATATTAATGTATGTCAATAAACAAAAAATCTTTAAACATTTTACAGAAGTTATTGATAAATAATGTTGAAATTGTAATTTAGGTTGCGATAATGACGTTGCTAAGGTCACATTTCTTGAAAATAAAGTCCCCAGTATTTTGTAAACGGGTTTTCCACGTAAATACATTATTTTGTTTTGACGTGGTGGTGGGGGAGGACGATCTTGAACAACTATTCAATTCGTTTCTTCGCTACAGTCCTTCGTAATTGTCTTGCTGTAGGTGCTAAGTATATGTACTGCAGTTAGCAATTTATACTGCAGAAGAGAAGCACGCGTAAGTCAAGGTTACGTTAACTTATTTTTTTGACCTTGTGTGATCATTTTTAAGTTTCGACGAATTAATTTGAGATGAAGCAATTGATTATTATATTATCCACGTTGTTGCACATACATGCACAACAGGACAAGGTACAAGTTGCCATAGATAAGATCTTTACTACATCTACTGGAAATTACTTTGATCAATATGAAGAAGTAACGTCTCCAAGAAATGACGGTTTTGGGGCCGAGCAAAAATGTGGACAAGGTTCGGATGAAGGGGTTCATCGCTGCGTGCGATACTTCAACTGCGATGGTGAAACGCGGACCATAATCCCAAGTGAAGAGTACGATGGTACAGGATTGATTGATATCAGGTACTAATACTTTATACTATGCTAATAATTCAAGATGTATATTTAACTTAAACAATTATATATGGACAAGGACAAAGTTTTGGGTTCCTACACCAATGCAAGTTAGTCTATGCAGTTTTGACCTGCTTAAATCTTGATAAAATTAATGGGTTCGTACTATTTTATTGCGCCATGTTTTAGTAGTTAGGGCCCCTAATTTTTGTTAAATTTGAACTGTAAATAGAAAAACAAAATTTTCATTATTCTCTTCTGCTTCCTTACAATTCTTAAAATTTAGATAGTGAAATCAAATTTAATGTATAATGTACTTAAACGTACATAATATGCAATTTTAATTGGCCTCTAATGTCTAGAAGCGGTAACTACATTGTTCTCCTGTCAATAGGTGATAGTATGTATAAACTTGATGGATTTGTTGATAACCTTGCCCGTCTCACTTTGGAAAAGCTGCTTAAGTATGCTGAAAAAAATCCGTCTGCGTTTTATAAAATGCTTGGGCATCTACGTACAGGTGCATTATAGCATCTTGTACCTATAAATATTAATAAGGATATGGCAGATAGTAAGTACGTCCAAGTGGCTAGTTTATTAACATGTTTTTTGCTTATACCTATGTAGGTATACCTACAAACTTGAAAGTTGGATGATCTTTTACCAAGAGATTTTTTATTTTGCAAACCATTTGCACAACGCCAACATTTCGTATATAAATGTCACTTGGAAGTTGGAATCATCTTTTTTCTACATGCACCACGTCACAAATCACTCTGAAGCATGAAAAATCTGGGGAAGCCCAAGATTTTATCACACTTCAAGAACAGAGTTACATTAAACATCGTATTTAAATAGGCAGCGTTACCTCCTCAACCTATTTGTATTCATCAACTTACAAAAGTAGGACTTTTTCTTGTGAACGTTCAGCGAATGAAAAAGGCAACGCGAAAAGTTGCTCTTATAAAACATGATATAGCTAGGTACTTTAATGAACATCAAATTGTATCGCGTTTGAATGTGAATCTGAACGCGAGGCAGTTACAAGATGTATTTCGCTAGAAAAAAAACCAATTGCGTCCTAACATGTGCTTAACTTTATATTTTCTATTTATATAACTCATTCAAAACACGTCCGAATAATTATAATTTATTTTTGAGTGTAATATATGTATACCGAAGTACCTAGCCTAGCATAAACAATTTATTTATATTGACTGATGCGATATTATTTTGTGCATATACCGACAATGTGGAATCTCGATACTATTTCGGCCTCAAGGAAGATTGCATCTTTAGTACGTCACACTGCGCCCATCTTAAAGTTGATGCGGGTTCGGAATCACGATCTAAATCTTCGAATTATAAATTCATTTATTTATTTACTTATTTATTATTAATTCATGTTATGATGTTAGGGTGCGAAGCACTTACAAATGTGAAAAAAGGTTTATTAAATGTAAAAGTGTGTATACTATATAACACAACCAAACGCAAAGCCAAACAAACCCTTACACAATAAACAATGCCACTTACTTAAATTGTTAAATTTGCAGGAATTTTTTTTATTTATTTTTTTGTTTGTGTTGTTAGCGTTGGCTATTGTGCCGTTGTGGCCATCCATTTTGGTAAATATGAATTAGGTACATACTATTCCTATATTTCCTTAATGTGTTTTTTTATTATTGTATACAGGGTGGTGACTTGCGTAACGCATCATAGGGATTTCAATGTAAAATTCATAACATGCGATTATTGGCTCCCCAAATTATTTTAGAGCAAAAATGTATTAAGGTTTTTTGTAGGAAAAAATTTTTTACGTCAATCAACCCTATTAGTTTTCAATTTTTTGCATAATAAAGACGGAAAATTGGAAAATAAAACCCCCATCTTTTTCAATAATCTGTGATGCCATGGAATTTTATAATACAAAAACTACGCCAATATCCGTCATGCCATGGAATGTCTGCTATAAAACAAATCAAATTCTATCAAAAAGTATTATATTTAGAACAGCGAATTCAACATAAAGAAAGACCAAATTACTAAAAACGGTTTCCTAATATAACAATTTACAATAAATGTTCGAATAAGTCACCATTAACTGCAATACAGTAACCAAGTCGATCATAAAAGCCATTTCGAACTGCTGCTAATTGATAACTGGATATCTTTTTGTTTTAAAAAATTCCATGGCATCGCAGATTATTGAAAAAGATGGGGGTTTTATTTTCCAATTTTCCGTCTTTATTATGCAAAAAATTGAAAACTAATAGGGTTGATTGACGTAAAAATTTTTTTCCTACAAACAACCTTAATACATTTTTACTCTAAAATAATTTGGGGAGCCAATAATCGCATGTTATGAATTTTACATTGAAATCCCTATGATGCGTTACGCAAGTCACCACCCTGTATACGAACGACGTACAGACAAATACTAATCGTTACTTGATTTTAATCCTTGCGATTAGTTAACCAGGCTAGACTTGAGTTTTCACAAGAAACACCGACCATAATAATAATAATAAAGACCAGATTTTTAAGCTAAGCTATACTTGCCGAGGTGTTAATATAGACTTGGCTCTTGAGACCACAAAGAAAATCGTTTGTAGCTAGATTCAAAATAATGAGCATAAATCCGTAATGAAAAACAAAACATGTCGACTCTAGCCGATTTTTTTTCTTCTAGTTTGATTTTTTTTGACAATTCAACTCATGCATAAAGCTGGATTCACATGCATACGAAATCCGACGATACTGTAATCCGAAAGGCGTATGATTGGTCAACAATTTCAAATGTGCTTGACAATTGTCACCTTGACATCGGCAAAAGTTACCTACAACTTTTCCAGCGACAAATGCACTAGTGGTTTTTTCACTTATTCATTTTCGAACCAATTATCGCATTATCCTTTCCCATATGACTAGTTTGACGTCTGTCAATAATTGATTAGTTTGGTGAATTTCTTGTTCGTTAAATTGTCCTGCCGAATTACACTCGGGGTTTGTATTTACCTAAACCGAGTAAATTTGTGTTGTTGCGATTCAAATCCGTTTCCTTTTAGCAATTGAACTTGAAAAACTGTCTACCTAGTCAACTAGTTGACAGTTTTTCTCGTCTAATTGCTAAGCAACAGATTTTCATTAACTAAACAACTCAAATTTACTCGGTAAGATACAAACCTCTTGTGCAATTATAAGTGAAAATTCACGTTGTTATATTCACACAATATGCACTTGGATAATGCATTTCGACGTTTTTCTAAAGATATTATTGCATTAATAATAGTTTTAAAAATTTGTTTACCAATTCCGCTTTGCTCATTTACTAGCTTATCTAGAGGTATACCTAAAGCTACTAATTTCAGAAAATAGAATTAAATAATCTTTATACTTTTTCACTGAGGACCCCTTGTACCACAACAGTTCAACGTCAGTTTAGTTGACTTAACAGACCTAATTAAGAAACTCGATTGAATAATTTTTGAATTTTGATTCAAGAATCGACTATCGATGTGAAACCGTCCAAATCCACAGCAAATTCTTCTGCTATGCAGTCAGTGAACGAGCATCATTTACGTTGGGCCTTTTCTTCTTCACCATCGCAATTTACAATTAATATCAGAAACAAATCCTTGTCCTAATTACATTGGTAGAGCCCCAACTTTGTAGGGATTTCTTCTGCCATCCTGTGGGATTTTGAGTGAAGGCGTTGATGGATTTTTACCAATAATAATGGCGGCAAATTTATCATAATTGGAGGGTTTAATGTTTTTTGTGGTACGTGCAAGATAAATCTACCTCTGATTGTAAAGCGATTGTTCCGGATTTGGAATATCCACCAATGAGTGCATACCTATTCTAAATAAAATTCACTCAGAAACAGATCCGGGATTCGCAACAATCCATCTATCCTCTATCAGTTTAAACATCCCAGCGTATATTTTTTTTTCCAAATAAATCCATTATCTTTTAGTTAGTGGTAAATTCACTTCTTGAACGTTGAATGTTTCTCAATCACAATTTAGTGCATCAATAAACTCAGGCAAACTCTATGTGTACATACTTTTTGGAATTCCCTTCGAATACATCCTTTTAGTTTTCCAACATTTTTCAACAATAGCAGGGAAATCTACGATCAGTACAGTTTATTAAAAACACAGATTATACATGTTGGCTCTTGAATAAATCGAAATTTTAGAGGAAGTGAGCGTCAATACTTTGGCCTCAAAAACAATAACTTTAAATATTTTGGAAATGAAAATGGTAAAAATTTAAAGTACCTGTTTAGGAAATTATTTATATTTCTTCAGAAGTTACAATCGTTATTTATACATTTACTATGACCAGAAAACGTTCGATTGCATTCCTGTAATGCCCAAGAAATTAATTTCCATTTTGTGAAAATGTCCGTTGGCTTCTTTTGAACCATACTCTAGGATCGATATTTTGCATCTATCCCAATTGACTACATAGGTTTTGATCAAGAGTAAGGGAATCAAAATCATTATACGTGTACCAGTTTCAATGCTAAAATTAATTGTTCTAGTATCTGATAAAGGAATTTTATTAACTTTTTGGTGACCACAGTCGATCTAGGGCCCGCATTTATGCGTCTGCGATTTTGGTTCAAAATGTCAGGACGCATTGCGCAACACGTGAATTTTATGTAACTCGGTGCGACGCCAGGTAATTTGTGGTTTTTGGTGTTTGCTGTTTGATGTGGCATAAATTTGCTTTAGTCATGCAAACTATTTCAATTATAGTTCTACAACTAACCTTACAGGTGTGTACTTAATCTAGGTTCACTATTCAAGAGGCATTCTCACATTTTTTCAAATCAAACAAACTTAGCAAAATGGTATGGTAACGCTTAACTTTGTTCTAGATTTGGTAACAACAACTGTGATGATTACCTTGATGTATGCTGCCAAATTCCTGCCGACGGTAAAATTCCTCCCGAGGTTACATCTCCTCCTGATGTTACTCCAATGACGCCGACTCTACCTCCGGATCAACCGAGTTTCTGCGGTATTAGAAATCCTAACGGAGTCGGTTTCAAAATCACTGGAAATAGCAACAACGAAGCTGAATATGGCGAGTTCCCGTGGATGTTGGCGATTTTGAACAAGAATCCAGGACCCGACGGGCTTTCATCGATTTGCGGCGCCTCTTTGATCGCACCTAATGTTGTGCTCACTGGAGCGCATTGCGTTCAAAAGTAAGCATAAAAATGTGTCGCATGGTAATATTTGGATTCTTTTTTAGTGTGAGAAGTAGTGACATAAAGGTTCGTGCCGGAGAATGGGACACGCAAACCGAAAGTGAGAGATATGCCTATCAAGAGAGAGAGATTCAGCAAATAGTAATCCACGAGGGTTACAAATCTAACAACTTATTTAATGACGTTGCTTTAATCGTTCTCAACAGACCCTTCGACAAAGCAGCCCACATTGGCACAATTTGTTTGCCACATCAAGGAGTTGTGGTTAATTCTAGGAACTGTTTCGTTAGCGGATGGGGAAAAGATGTATTTGGTAATGCTAAGATTTCGATTTTTTGATATGCCATTGCGGTTTTGTAGGTAAAAAAGGCAGATTTCAAGTAATACTTAAAAAGATTGAACTACCCACTGTGTCGAAAGGTAAATGTGAAGAAAATTTGCGTAAGACCAGGCTTGGTGCTAAGTTTGTACTTCATCAATCATTTATGTGTGCTGGAGGGGAAAGTGGAGTAGATGCGTGCACAGTAAGGATTAAAAAAATATCTAACTAGTTTTTAAATAATTTCATCTGTTTTAGGGTGACGGAGGTGGTCCATTGGTGTGCCCTGACCCTAGTAATCCAAAACGGTATGTACAAGCCGGCATTGTCGCGTGGGGAATTGGATGTGGACAACGAGATGTTCCCGGAGTGTATGTTGATGTCTCGCGATTTAGAGGATGGATTGATGGACATATGACCCGACTTAACTTGGATACTGCCCCTTATAATTTATAATTTTTTTTAACTATTTTTGTATCTCGAAATTTTGCATTAGAAAAAATTGTAATGTAAACCACTTTGATTCATTTCGGAAATTATTATCAATTAATGCTTTAATGATTTCCATAAATCCACTCTTAACCCCATGATAGAACTCCAAAATCATATAAGACAGTGGTATTCGCTAGAAAACATGTGAAATCATATAATTTTTGGAGCCATTTTAAATCTTGTCTTGTTTGGCAAGGTTGACTCTGAAAGAACACTTACGTGCATTTGGAAATACTTAGGTATACGAGTACATCCAAGGTATTTCTACCTAGCTTTATCCTCAGATCCTTGATAGTTTTGTATTGTCGCGTCCGTATGCGCTATAACTCTTTTTAAAAGTGGCCGATTGTGTTGAAATTTGATGTACCGGTACTTTGGGTTCTTGGTACATTAAGAACGGACGCTATTGATTTTCAGAAAGCTGGTTCAACAGGAATAAAAGTTATAGGACTCTATATTGCAGGAAAGCGAATTATAATCGCAATCCTAGATTATTTGCCAA